CAGCTTTTATTGGTTTAGTTATGCCTTATCTTTATTTTATGCCTGAATCACCATTGTATATCTATTCTAAACGACAATATGTTCAACTTGAAAGACTTTTACGACGAATAGCAACTACAAATAAACGAAAAGAAGAAGATTGGTATCCTGTTTATCAAGAATTTCTAAAAAATCAATCATCTAAGTCATTACATGTTAATGAATTAACATTTTCTCAAAAAGCGCATAGAATTGTTACACATCGACCGACTGTTGTTAAATTATTAACAAGCGCATTAATTGGTTTTACAACACTGATGCTTTATATAAAAATAAGTTATGGCTTAGCTGAAATGAGTATTTCACCATATTTAGGAATACTTATTGGTGCTGCTGTTGAAGCAGCTGGATATATAACAGGTTCTTTACTTATATCAACAAGACTTGCTCGGAAAGGTTCATTTATTCTTATGGCAACTCTAACAATTATTTCTGTTGTTCTTATACCAATTATTTTGAAACATAGTCCAATTGCAACTGTATTTATTGCACAATTTGGAAAATTTGCCATATCAGGTACAATAATTGTATCATGGATATATGTACCTGAACTTTTTCCAACATCAATTCGAGGTAGTGCTAATGGATTTTTTATTGCATTTAGTCGTATTGGTGCTATAATTGCACCAATTATTAATGCATCTACTAGTAATGAATATTTGCCTTACACATTTTATGTACCAGCAGGTTTAACTGTTATTGTTGTTTTATTAACATTATTTTTACCAGAAACAAGATGTAAAGGTATGGATGACGAAGAAGATTATGCAATAAATTGAGATAATGCTGCTTAATAATCCTTTCTGATTACTTTTTCATACATAAACGAGTTCACATACACAATGAAAGAAGGAAGGAAAGCAAGTACACGCATGCTTTGATGGCAGAAGAAAAAAAAGTGATACTCTATCCAATGTTTAAATGTAGCTGAGAAAGCGCAGTGAGAAAAAACAAGATACACAAAGTAAGAAAAGATCTGACTAAAAGAACACAAAACACATACAGTGAGATCCAATATACCGTTGTTTGCTTTTTCAAATAAATAATAAGATTCTTTTTCAAGAAATGCACAAAGGGAAATCGACGAAACATAGTTTCTTTTGCTTTATCAACACTAATCACTGTCGTTATGGTTCGAGAGAAAAAAATAATAATCAAAAAGGCCAACATGGAAAACGAAGGATATAGATACATACATTAAAGTTTGAAAGAAAAAGAAAAAAAGTGTTGGATGTGGGATGTGGAATACATAGGCGAAGTCAGGAGGATACAGGAGTCGCCTATGTATACCTCGGATAAAAGATATCTGAGTGTGGTACAAATAAAAAGTCTTTTGCAAGACAGAAGATTATTTTCCTGTTGGTATGCACTCCCTTGGAGAATTCCTGGCTATACTTCTAACGAAGTGTCACTGTGTGCATGGGCATCGAGTATGGAGTGTGGATATGTGTATCGGTGCTACTGTTGGGGAGGTCAACATCACATCCTTAAATATTGAGTGTTTTTAGATTAATTACTGAGCTTTTCAAACTATATGCTATGTTAAAACTAATCTTTTAGTGAGCAAAAATCACTTAGCGTGTAGTAAAATATGATTCTGAGCATTCATTATAAAGCAATGAGCAATTAAATACAAGCCTTTTTAAATGGATGCCGTAGTAACAGAAAAAGTGATGTAAAAGATATGTTATTGTCATGGTTCTATCTTAGGATAGGAATAGCAACAAGCGCTGAAACATAAACAAAAAGCTATTCTCGTTAAAATCTATCTCTATGCAAAATTTCAAGTCAGAATTTTGAAAATCAGCTTTTCCGATCAACGGTCGAATCAAAGCGAGGTTTACTGGTTCGTTTTCGGTCTTTGTTTCTGATTTTCCTGAAGGAAATCACGGCACTCATTTAAAGAAATACCGCAAATCGCAATATCTTCAATACAGTAAACTAAAGGCAGGAACTCTTTTCAGGGGATGTTCATAGTTCATTTATGTGTACATAATGCACATCGTCTCGACTCAAACGTGATTTATCAGTTGAAAGACTTACCTTGTAAGTCTATTTAAAAATATTCTCTAGAATATTTTGTGAATAGTAAAAAGCAAATCTTCTATTGAAAAAAGGAATTCTATTATAGGGACTAGGACAATTGGCCATATGAACACTTGTCGGTCATTAAAGTTCTTACGAGAATTTTGAATAAAATAACGACATACAGGGATAAAAAAGTTAATTTCTTCCATGAGAACCATCATCATCATCCTGAATCAATTCATCTGATTGTGGCAAAAACTTCTCAAAATGATGATTCTAATATGATAAGAAGTTTTATGTAACAAAATATGCATAAATATAAAACCGAATAAACTAATAAAAATGGTCTGACGACAGGCAATAATGTCAATTACTCTATTAAAAAACTTCTAAAAGTGCACCTTTTTTAAAGTTGCCCTCGTCAAAAAAATGAAAATTGAGATAAATGCATGAGAATATAGATCGAAGTCTGATGTTTCATAAACGACTTTTTTTTTATTTCGTACCTCGTTTCTTTCCAAAAATTTTAGACAATTTCCGTCATTTTTACCTGAAAAATACTTTTTCTTGTTCAAAAACAAAAGTTAAAATATTTTCCATTTTTTTGATTAGGCTAACTAGAGTTCTGTATGGATCTTGATTTCTATATATTTAATCTTATTTTTCTTTGTTTGAAAGAGCATGTCAAGATGCAGAGTATTGTAGAATTTCTTCGTTGAAATATTCTTTGTTACTATTATATAAAAGAGCACTTTAATAATGAGAGCACCATTTATCTAGCCATTGAACTTTTCTTCTCTTAAACAGTACGAATTGAAACAAAAACAAGGGTTCTGCTATGCCTTGCATCCTCACATAGTCTTTCAAACAACAGAAAAATCAAGTATATAGAATAAAGACTCACAAAGAACCTTGGTTTATAGAATATTTCCCGAAAACATCATGGTATAGTATTGAAAATTTTAACATCTTATGTCGACTCCAACTCCTAAATATCCTAAAAAATCTTATAGCGGTTGAATATTCCTGACTTAAGGTCGATTTTTAACGATCTGCTCAATATTAAGATGCTAGATATTTAAAACTTTAGCAAAATTTTGCTTTCGATTTATTTAGTGTCGTTAGTTAGAGTACATTGCGTTACATTTGAAAAAATGCTTTTCTGGTTTTTGGAAACAAGATTTTCGTGGAAATATTAGAAAAAAAGATTAAATTCTAAAGAATCATAAACATGTAAATATTCTTTTTCACTTTGTAGAACATTATAAAGGTTATGTCGTGATTCTTTAGGCAAAATTGGCAAAAAAAATTATGCTAGCACTGTTCAACTAAGATTTGATTAACTCTGGTGACTCCTATGAAACGGTATCTTCAGGGGCGACAAAATAATCAACCACTTTTTGTATAAAAATTAAATCATTTTTTTCTGTGTAGCTCGAAACGTCTTACCAATCAGAAAAAAGTTACGCATCGGTTTATGGAACTCTCCTTGTAACCGAGAAAATCGATTTTTTCGATATGAATACAAAAATCAAGAAAGATTAATTTGTCATTCAAGACTTTCAGTACGGAAAAACTTACTTTCAAGTATGAGTAGGAATTTACTGCTAGCAGACAGTTACCTGGCAACAACGTAAAGGAAGATGTCTGAGTTTATCAGTGAAAAAGAGTTTTTTTTAAGAAAATAACAATTTTTTTCTATAAAGTTTGATGAAAGATTTTCACGATTTAGAAATCCAAATCTGAACTCAGAATTTCAAAATTTTCAGTTTCAATTTTTTACAACAAAAAATTTTTATGAAAAAAACCAAACTCAAAAATTTTGCAATTCTGCTTTCAGATTCGTATTCCTTGTATCCCGAAAACCTTTATTAAAAATTTTATAAAAAAACGTTACTTTTTGAAAAAAGCCCTTTTCTAGTGATAAACTCGAAAAGTTTCCGTTATCCAGTTACTTGCTTACGTAGCAGTAACTAATCGCTCTTACTCAATGGCAATCGTTATACTGTAAAATATTGACACATTTTTCACGCAAAAAATGATTAGTCATGGATAATATTTGAGAAATAATTCGGCATCTATCTATGGAAATATAATATGAATATAGCTAATTTTTTTCATTTTTCGATGCACAACCTTTTGGTCTATACCATGAAAAATTCTGGTACTTCGTTGACATATTTTAGTAATTAATTTTATATAAACGATTTTTGATGACATTTATTGTTCAGATAATGTCATCCATGTTGGACAATCATGTCAGGCTCATCTATCAGCAAGTCAGTCAAGCATACAAAAAAAATTGGCTCTAGACCTCATTTATACAAACAATATTATAATGAGCTGTACTGCTTCTTTATATTTCTTTGAATAGTTCAACATTGTACCTATCAATAAGCAACAAAAACAAATATTAATGAATCAACAGACTACGAAAGATTACGCTCAACTTTTCATGAAATTATGAAATACAAGCTGAGATAATTTCATATTTGATAGTGTTAGCCAAATCGATGAGTTTTTTAATAAATTATCTTTTCTTTTTTAAAATATATTTTGCTATTTTTGAAGTCTCATGGGATAGAAGGTTTCGAAGATCTTCTGATCCTCTGGAATGCTTGTTTCATTGCGTTACACCCTACGCAAAACTGCGAATGACATAGTGGAAGAACTTACTGTACCAACAACTACACAATTCTCATATGAGGCAGTCATGTATCCACTCTGTTCAGTCTTGTTTCTTATTCTTTTTCTGCTATGTGATACCATTCTATATTCTATTCATCTTTCTGCCTTCTCGATATAAACCTGTGTCAGTTTCCGGTTCCGTACCTAGGAACACAAAACCCACGATATGATTTGTATTTCTAGGAACGCAAATACATCGTGAGTTTGTGTTTCTAAGAACATAATCTATATCTTAGGTTCTTGTTTCTGGGCAAGGAACTAAAGACTGACACTTCTATTTTTGAACACAAAGTTTCTAGTTTTCCACAGATCCAAAAATCTGAACTCGAATTTTGAGAGCGAAACACAGTGCATCTGACATAGCGTAGTCAAATATCTATTTTCCATTGTTTGGTCTTAATAAAGACGTCGATGGCTTAAGCAGAGAAGCATGCAATTGAAGGTTTTGTTTAAAACACGACAAGCGCTGCACTACAAAGTTTCACTCTGCCACAGTTTTGTTTCAGTGCATCCCATTAATCTAAAAATTATGGATAAGAAGTTTTGAATTATGATCTCTCGGGTGTGCTCGGCCTTGACCTCAAAATCTGTGTTGAGATTTTAGAATCAATAAAAAGTCACGAATTTCGGATTCGACACCAGAGGTGTCAGTTTCTAGTTCCATACCCAAAAAGCCCGTAACAGTCTACTACCAAAATGATGCACAAGAATATTTAGATAGCCCAAAGTGGTCAAGCATACATTTAAAGCATTGTAAAAATGGGATTGCATTCGTTGAAAAACAGAACTCCCAGGAGCACAAACAATGACACCTCTATCTGTGTTATATGTGAAATAGTTACAACTGCAGTGACAACGTAATGTAATGATATATACGTCGAGAATGACAAGAACACTACTTCTCCAGCTCGTCATTATCGTATTAGGATAAAGCAAATGCAGCTCTAGTAGAGAAAAGATGCATGTGAATTCTGCTACAATTCTTTCAAGAGATTCAATCGTAATAATTATGATTGTTACAATTTTATTAGTATTTATCATTTTATTTAAGCTTCGATTATGA